TGTATTTATCTTATTTATATGTTATGCATCGTGTTTATTATATAATTTTGAAAAAAATATCATGGATGGATTAATGAAAATGTGTATATTAACGTAATATACGACATTTAAATGACTCGATGTATGTAAGTTTATTTAGGTACAGGTATACATAAGTATAATTATCAGAGTATATATAAAATATGAAATAACTTTTAAAAACATTTGAAATTTTGGAGTTTCCAGACAAAATGGAGAGACTTAGTGCTTACTGAGCTCATGGAGAATGTAAACAAACAGGGTGGGGCACGGTGACCGTATTAGAAAGTCAGGTGGGGGGAGCCGTATAGTGAGTTTTGGTCATAATTTGAAATGTCCGTATTAGCGGAACGCCGTAAAGTGAAACGCCGTAAAGCGGGGCCTTCCTGTACTCTTTTGTCTCCCTTCCCTTTATATAAAGGAAATATACATGCTCTCTGCCAATCTCTAGGTACCTTCCCCCCTTTCATGCATTTACTAAACAAAACTACCAACCACTCCAACACTATATCATCCCCCTGCTTTTAACATTTATGTCATGATCCCGTCAGTTCCAGCTGCTTTACTCCCTTTCATTCTACGTAATGCCTCACGCACCTCCCCCACACTCACATCCTGTTCTTCTTCACTCCTAAAAGATGTTATACCTCCCTGGCCAGTGCATGAAATTACCACTTCCCTTTCTTCATCGACATTTAAAAGTTCCTGAAAATATTCCTGCCATCTACCCAGTACCTCCAGCTCCCCATCTACTAACTCCCCTCCTCTGTTTTAACTGAAATCCATTTGTTCCCTAGACTTTCTTAACTTGTTTATCTCACTCCAAAATTTTTTTCTTATTTTCTGCAAAATTTCTTGACAGTGCCTCTGCCACTCTATCATAAGCTCTCCTTTTGCACTCTCTCACCACTCTCTTCACCTTTCTTTTACTCTCCATATACTCTGCTCTTATAACATTTCTCCTTTGTAAAAACCTCTCATAAGCTATCTTTTTCTCTTTTATCACACCCTTTACTTCATTCCTCCAATCACTCCTCTTTCCTTGTGCACCCACCCTCCTATAACCTCAAACTTCCGCCCCACATTCTAATACTGCATTTATAAAACTATTCCAACCCTCTGCAGCCTCCCACTACTATTATTTGCCTAGCCCACCTTTCTGCCAATAGTTGCTTATGTCTCACCCTAACTTCCTCCTCCCTTAGTTTAAACACTTTCACCTCTCTCTTATTTTCTGTTGCCATTTTCCTTTAGACCCATCTACCTCTTAATCTAACTATAGCTTTGACTAAATAATGATCCGATATATCAGTTGCCCCTCTATAAACATGTACGTCCTGAAGCCTACTCATCAGCCTTTTATCCACCAGTACGTAATCTAACAAACTACTTTCATTACGTGCTATATCGTACCTTGTACAGTGGTCCCTCGTTTTTCGTAATTAATCCGTTCCTGGAGCCGTTACTATAAATGAAATTTACGATTTACGAATCAATTTTCCCCATAAGAAATAATGTAAATACAATTAATCCGTTCCTGACACCCAGAAGTATTAAAACAAAAAAATTTTTAACATGAAATATACATGTAGTACATAAACAATACAATGGGAAATGATGAATGAAACATTAACAGCATAACACTTACCTTTATTGGAGATTCTTCTTAGTGTATGGGAGACTGGAGGAGGAGAGAGAGTGGATTGTTTATAGTTTGGAAGGGGAATCCCCTTCCAGCAACACCTCAGGTACCATTTGCTTTTCTGGGGTTGCTTCTCTTCTCTGTTTCTTAATGCCACTAGGACCCCCTTTAGAGTCACTGGAGTCCTGTGTCACAAAATAACTGTGGAGAGAGCTCTGTTTCTGGCGTCTCTTTTAAAACTTCCCTAAAATGGCCAAGACTTTGTCACTGTACATGTTGCCAACCTGGCTTGCAACAAGCTTGTTAGGGTGATGTTTCTCCATAAAGCTTTCATCTTACCCCACATAGTAAAAATCTCTTCAATTCTGAAGAAGGCACCTTCTTCCATCTCTCTCCCTCCTCCTCTGCAGCAAGATTCTGAGCTGCGATGTGTGCTCCCTTTCCCGCTGAAGCTCTTGCAGCTCCTCAGTGGTGAGCTCTTCATTGTGGTCTTCCACCAATTCTTCCACATCCTCCAAACTCACATCCAACCCCATGGAACTCCCCCGTGCCCCAAATTGATTTTTCAACAGACATAGGCTCATTAGGGTCAGTCCCAAATCCTTCAAAATCCCTCTTGTCAACACAATCTGGCCACAATTTTCTCCAAACAGAGTTCAAAGTCCTGGTAGTCACTCCCTCCCAAGCCATACTTGGGAGGGAGTGGAGGATGCTGAAGTGTTCTCTCCCAAAAATTTCCCCTTTGGGGCAAGTGGTGTCTGTGGTCACAGTCAAGGCACCTGTGAAACATTGCTTTTGTGTAGTTTTTTTAAAGTTTGCAATAACCTGCTGGTCCATGGGATGGAGGAGGGGAGTGGTATTCGGGGGCAAGAACTTTACTGTGATGAACCCAAACTCCTCGAAAATTAGGTCATCCAAGTTTGGAGGATGAGCAGGTGCATTGTCCATTACTAGCACGCACTTGAATCCAATTTCTTTTCCAGGAGATACTCCTTCACACTAGGGCCAAACACTTCATTGAAACCCCTCGACGAAAATTTCCCTCGTGGGCCATGCCTTACTATTGATTTCCAAAACACACACAATTTACTCTTCATAACATTGTTTTTCCTGAAACACTCTGGGATTTTTCAAAAATGGTACACTAGTAATGGCTTCACTTTGAAATCCCCCCCTAGCATTAGCCCAGACAGGCGGGCAGCCCGTCTTTCATAGGCTTGGTGTTCTGGCATTGCCTTTTCCTCTTGGTAAAAGAAGGTCCTCTTTGGCATTTTCTTCCAAAAGAGGCCTGTTTCGTCACAATTGAACACTTGTTCAGGTTTCAGTCCTTCACTGTTTATGTACTCCTGGAATTCATGCACATATTTTTCAGCCGCCTTGTGGTCCGAACTGGCAGTCTCACCATGCCTTACCACACTGTGTATGCCAGTACGGTTCTTAAATCTCTCAAACCAGCCTTTGCTGGCCTTAAATTCACTCACTTCACCACTATTTGCAGGCAGTTTCTTTACCAAATCTTTATGCAACTGCCTAGCCTTTTCACAAATAATCGAAGTCATAAGAGTATCTCCTGCTAATTGTTTCTCATTTATCCACACCAATAATAACTTCTCAACCTCTTCCAGTACTGGTGATCTCATTTTTGTCAGCATAGTTACTCCCTTTGCAACAACAGCATCCTTTATTTCATTTTCTTGGCCACTATGGAACATAAGGTGGTGTAGGGTTTCTTATACATCCTGGACAGTTTGGCCACACTTGTACCACTTTCATATTGTTCAATGATGGTTTTCTTAAATTCAATCGTATTTCTCACCTTCTTTACCACAGGCTTGGCACTAGGAGCTTTCTTTGGAGCCATGGTAGCTTATTTAGTACTTGCAAGCACTAAAATAAATGGAATATTATGAAATATTTCGCTGGAGCACGTGAGGGGACCTTTGCTCACTGGTAAACAATGCCAGACTGGCTGCCGCCCCGGCTCACGCCGTGGGTACGCGTCCCGGACGAACTACGACTCGCGAGTCAACCTATGAAAAGCGAGTCCATGTTTATACGAAAATACCCCTATGATTGGCGAATTTTACGATTGCCGGGAATTACGAAAAACGGGGGACCACTGTATACTTATCCTCTTTTTCATGAAATATGTATTACTTATTGTCAAACTTCTTTCTACACATAGCTCAATTAAAGGCTTCCCATGTTCATTTACCCCTGGCACCCCAAATTTTCCTACTACTCTCTCCACAACATTTTTACTCACCTTAACAAAGAGATCTCCAACCACAAGTACACTATCTAGGTTCAAAAACTCCCCACTCATTCACTCAACATTTCCCAAAAATCTCTCTCTCTCCTCTACACTTCTCTCTTCTCCAGGTGCATAAATGCTTACTATAACCCACTTTTCACATCCAACCCTTATTTTACTCCACATAATACTTAAATTTATACATTTGTATTCCTTCTTTTCCTGCCATAACTTATCGTTCTACATTATTGTTACTCCTTCTTTAGCTCTAACTCAATCTGAAACCCCTGAGCTAATCCCATTTATTTCTCCCCACTGAAGCTCTCCCACCCCCTTCAGCTTTGTTTCACTTAAAGCTAGGACATCCAGCTTCTTCTCATTCATAACATCCACGATCATCTCTCTATCATTCGCACAACATCCACGCACATTCAAACATCTCACTTTGACAGTTTTCTTCTTTTTCTTTTTATTAGGCTATACAGGAAAAGAGGTTACTAGCCCATTGTTCCTGGCATTTTAGTTGACTTTTACAACATGCATGGCTTATGGAGTAAAGATTTTTATTCCACTTCCCCATGGATATAAAAGGAAAAGCAATAAGAACAAGACTATTAAGACAAAATCAGAGAAAACTCAAATGAGTGTGTATACATAAATGTGTACATGTATGTGTAGTGTGACCTAAGTGTAAGTAGAAATAGAAATAGCAAGATGTACCTTGAATCTTGCATGTTTATGAGACAGAAGAAAGACACCAGCAATCCTACCATCATGTAAAACAAATACAGTGGAACCTCAAATGTCGAACTTTCTTCAGTCCAGAAGGCTGTCCGAGTGCCGTTACCGAACGAATTTATTCCTATCAGGAATAATGTAAATTAGATTAGTTCATTTCAGACCCTCAAAAATACATTTATAAAAGCACTTACAAAAATACACTTACATAATTGGTCGAGTTGGGAGCAGTTCGATTTTTGAGGTTCCACTCTACAGGCTTCCTTTTTACACTCACTTGGCAGGACGGTAGTACCTCCCTGGGTTGTTGCTGTCTACCAACTTACTAATATATTTTATCCTCTACAGCATAAAATGACAAAAGAACAGTACATCAAAATGAATCGAGGTATCAATGATTCCAAAGACCTTCCAGAGGAATATCTCTCCAGTATATATGATGAAATTGCTGGCAACGAAATCAAAATGAAGGCCACCTCTACTAAACTGGGAAAACAAGGTAACTTCAGTTGACAAGAGAGTAACTAAGAATATCACAGCAGTGTCCAATAGAGATAGCAGTGGAAAATAAATAATAGTTTAATACTATTACTAAGTTTAATGTTTATTTTCACCTAACAACTGATATTATTATTTTTTTGACCTTTCAGCTGTTGCAAATGAGAAGAAACGTAAATCTCTCTTCAATTTAGAAATGGAAACCATATCAATAACAGCCAAGTCTCTGATGGAAGCCGCTTCACATGTTGATGCCACCTTTACCCTGGCAACCCACGTAGAGCATGTCCGACCAATGTTTAAGGTTATTATGTAGTGCTTTATTGGTGCATTTATCAAAGCTTTTCCACATTTAATCATGTTTTAAGTAAATAATGGAAGAAGTGAATGTGTTTGGATATTTGGAGGTAGGCTTGTCAACAAATGGGTTTATGAAGGCAGTGAACCATAGAATTGATGAAGGAGAAAAAGGTGGGTGGTGGATTGAGGTACCTGTGGAGACAAAGAACATTATCCATGGAGGCAAAGAAATGAATGTATGAGAGTATAGTGATACCAATATTCTTATATGGGTGTGATTCATGGGTTGTGAATTCTGCAGTGAGGAGGAGGCTGGAGGCTGTGGAAATGTCTTGTGTAACGGGAGTGTGTGGTGTAAATATTATGCAGAATTCGTAGTGTGGAAATTAGGAGGTAGTGTGGAGTTACTAAAAGTGTTAGAGGGCTGAAGAGAGGCTGTTGAGGTTGTTTGGTCATTTGGAGAGGATGGAGCAAAATAGGATGACTTGGAGGGTGTATAAATCTGTAGTGGAGAGAAGGAGAGGTAGGGGTCATCTTAGGAAAGGATGGAAAGAAGAGGTAAAGAAGGTTTTGTGTGCAAGGGGCTTGGACATACAGCAAGCATGTGTGAGCATGTTAGATAGGAATGAGTGGAAATGAATGGTTTTTGGGACTTGATGAGCTGTTGGAGCGTGAGCAGGGAAATAATATGTGAAGGGATTCAGGAAACTACTTAGCCGGACTTGAGTCCTGGAAGTGGGTAGTGCAGTTGTACCTCGGTACTCGAACTTAATTCGTTCCAAAAGGCTGTTCGAGTACTGAACAAATTTTTCCCATGAGGAATAATTAACCCTTTCACTGTCGAGACCCTTGCTCACAAACTTGCTCTGTGTTGAAGAATTTAAAAAAAAATTATGAAATGATAGAGAATTTTTTTCTGATGGTAATGAAACCAAAAGTACGAAATTTGATGGAAAACTTATTGAATTATGTTCTTGTGAAGTTAGCAGTCTCGGCAATATTTACGCATCGGCGATTTCACCCACTTTGAGTCCTATTTTCAGCCAGTTCAGTTGTTCAAGTTGACCAAACTCTCAGTTAATTTGCTAGAACTCCTTTTGTTCTATTGATTGAGCACAAGAAACTACTCATTTACCAATTTCATCTACCCAATAAAGTGATTAGAAATTGGTAATTTGGCAAATTTCATACACAATTCAAGGAAGGCCAATTTCAAAATAGGGTCCAGATTTAACCCTGTCAGGGTCAGTCCCATACATGTACGGCTTGACAGCCAGGGTCAGTCCCATACTTATGCGCCAAAATTCTAGCGCCTTCAAATCGAGCAGGAGAAAGCTGGTAGGAATATGTACATATGAAAGAATGGGTCTGCGTGGTCAGTGTGCACAGTATAAAAAAATCCTGCAGCACACATTACGTAATGAGGAACAAAGAGTGAATTTGCAGTGTATTTTCATATGGTATTTATGGTTGTATCCTCATTTTCTTGGTCTCATTTGATAGAATGGAAGACATATTACAGAAATAGAGATGATTTTGATTGGTTTTACAATAAAAAGTACATTGAAATTGAGCTCAAAGTGAATCTAATATTCTTTCACGTGTGCACTGATATTATTTATACCATTTTTACAATAATGCAGTAGTCCGCATAACAGTAAATCTTTTATATTTTGTGAGAAAAATTCAAAATGGAAAGCAAAAGTAATATAAGAGGGTCCTGGAGATGTGACTAATGAACAGAGAAAATGTTACTTTAGTGCCAGGAATGTCTGTCTTATTTATTCTGTACCCTATTTTGAAATTGGCTTTATTACATTCTGGTAATCAAGCTTATTACCATATTTTGGGGAATCAATTCTTATAACAAATACTCGGCCTATTTTTAGTATCTTTCTAACGTAAAGAATTAAAGTGTCATTTATTATCATTTAACAGTTAGCCTATTACCAGAATTGTAATAAGAATATAATCACTCACGGAATCGTAATAACACAATTGCAAACAAACCATACCACAGGCTAGTGGTAATGCGGCTAATGCGACGGTCTGGAGTTTTGAGACTCTCTGACCGCGGGTTCAAACCCCACCCGTGGTATAGTTAGAATATAATCATTCAGGAGTACAAAATGCATACTAACTTTTAAAATCTTTACTTGTAAATTGTTTAGCATACATGTTCAGCATAATATTAACTACATGTTCAGCATAATATTAACTACAAAGAAATATCCATTATTACCCGACACTATTCTCAGTGTCATTACACATCCATTATCACCCGTGTCACACGTCATTCTTCCAGTAATGACAAGTACTGTACAGTGGACCCCCTGCATTAAGTCGTTATAGGAATAAGTAATATTCGGAATAAGTAACGTTTTTTCGTCAAAATATTGGCTTGGTGAACGTCGCTGAACTCGGTATAAGTCATTCGTGTCAGGGCCTGAGCGGCCCTGACACTTCATGTACAGTCAGTGTGCCATTCTTTGCCAGCCAGTATTATTCCATTCTTTTTAGTGCTTGTAACTGCTAAATAAGCCAGCTAGCCCTTTGGTAAAGGGCTGAGAGAGAGGGAAAAATGTGCCTTTTCAGTGATTCTGCAATATGTACAATACTAAAGCAGCAGGAGTCTATAAAGGCTATAGCGCCAGCCAGCGATAAAGTGTAGCATTAGCAGTGTGGCAAGTAAGTTAAGCGATTAATCAATAGAAAAAGGACAAAAATGACTCCTCCATTGTTGTTGGAGCAGAGGCATTGCTAAAGTTGGTGTCACCCGGGGTGGCATCTTTGGTGTCACCCCCATGAAATTCAAGGCTGGGGGGATGGGGGGTAAACTCCAGTTACGTCACTACTGCATGACCAGTGACTAATGTTTAGCAATGAGAATGTTTAAGAAAAATAAACCGAACAGGAGAATACCTCTCAACTTTATTAATGATAAAATAAATAATCGTAGTAATATTGAGGAAACATAAACTTAAAAATCACTTTGAGTACAAGCAACAGATCCTACATTTATTATTCTTCAACAATACCAAAACAAAAAGAAAATACTTGAAAAATAAAGAAAAACATTGCAGTATCAGAGAAACACTTTTCCCGATTTGACCTTGAGTACAGGTAACATCTCAGTGAATCTGATCTTACATTTGACCTTGAGTACAGGTAACATCTCAGTGAATCTGATCTTACATTTGACCTTGAGTACAGGTAACATCTCAGTGAATCTGATCTTACATTTGACCTTGAGTACAGGTAACATCTCAGTGAATCTGATCTTACATTTGACCTTGAGTACAGGTAACATCTCAGTGAATCTGATCTTACATTTGACCTTGAGTACAGGTAACATCTCAGTGAATCTGATCTTACATTTGACCTTGAGTACAGGTAACATCTCAGTGAATCTGATCTTACATTTGACCTTGAGTACAGGTAACTTCTCAGTGAATCTGACCTTACATTTGACATTGAGTACAGGTAACATCTCAGTGAATCTGATCTTACATATGACCTTGAGTACAAGTAACATCAAAGTAAATCTGATCTTACATTTCCTTGCCTTCAATTATGCAAAATCATCTATCACATCATCAAAATCAATCTATCAAATCATCAAAATCAACGAAGGATTCTTATGTTGGTGAGGCACTGTTTTATGCATTAGTGTCACCTTTGCAGGCTCTATGGTGTCACCTGGGGCGGCCCGCCCCCCCCCCCCCTTACGACGCCTCTGTGTTGGAGTTATATAGGGCGACTGACAAAACCGCCATCTCTGCTGCCTCTTGCTGCCGCCTTCACCACCACTATGTACGGCTTATCTTTCAGTGGCCCTTATACACCCAACAACAAACAACACACCACTGTTCGTGACATTTTTAATACCATATTTTATTCATTCTAGAGTATACAGTAAGGCCCCGCTTTACGGCGTTTCACCTTACGGCATTCCGCTAATACGGCAATGTCAAATTATGACCAAATTTTGCTATACAGCAAGCGGTCTTTTAAATACGGCGCCCCCCCATCCCCACCCGGTTTGTTTACATATTCCATGACCACATCTATTATGTCAGGAAACTTTCCAAAATTTCAAGTGTTTTAAAGTTACTGCATATTTTATATGTTCTTTCTTTCTTTCAACACACTGGCCGTATCCCACCAAGGCAGGGTGGCCCAAAAAGAAAAACGAAAGTTTCTCTTTTAAATTTAGTAATTTATACAGGAGAAGGGGTTACTAGCCCCTTGCTCCCAGCATTTTAGTCGCCTCTTAGAACACGCATGGCTTACGGAGGAAGAATTCTGTTCCACTTCCCCATGGAGATAAGAGGAAATAAACAAGAACAAGAACTAGAAAGAAAATAGAAGAATACCAGAGGGGTGTGTATATATATGCTTGAACATGTATGTGTAGTGTGACCCAAGTGCAAGTAGAAGTAGCAAGACATACCTGAAATCTTGCATGTTTATGAGACAGACAAAAGACACCAGCAATCCTACCATCATGTAAAACAATTACAGGTTTTCGTAGTACACTCACTTGGCAGGACGGTAGTACCTCCCTGGGCGGTTGCTGTTTACCAACCTACTACCTAGGGTATTTTATATGTACAGTACTCTGATAATTTTACTTACGTGTACCTGTACCTATACTTTACACACTGTGCTGGTGTGCAGGTACACATTAAAATCGCTAAGTCTCTCTCTACTCATGACGCCAATACTACGTAGTAATAATCACTCTTGGGCACACTAAATGTCTTATTTTACATCAATATAGGCATTTTCATTAATCCATCTATGATATTTTCCTCAAAATTATATATGAAACCCATTACATAGCATATAAACATGATACATACACTCACAGAATAAAAATTGATGTAAATATGAGATTTGTGTACAAAGCAGCTGTGTAGGTAGTGTCTGAAGAATTACGTTTTCTCTAGTCAAACACTGGGGAGTAACTGTAGAAAAATATTCTTTTCGTATGCCTTTACT